GGTCTCTTACTCTGTAGCCCAGGCTGGCTTCAAGCTCAGAGTGATCTTTCTATCTCGGTCTCCCAGTACTAGAATTGTAGGTGTGAGCCCACCATGTCCACCTTGGAATTTTTAAATATTCAAAGGTATTTATTACCATTATACTTTTGTTTAAACTTTTATTTCAAATTTTGAAAAAGAATAAAATAATACCACAAACACTCAAACACCATTTTGAGTCCACCAACTTGTGTTTTCTCTCTTTTTCATATTCTTTCTACATTGTTAGAAGGTGTGTTGACCACAGTATAACCTTTTGTTCCTAGAATGCCAACATTAACCCAGACTCTTAGAAAAAGTATCATCTTAAGAACTAAAACTAAAAAGCAGGTGACTGCTCTAAATTAAGATTTATTGGTTTTTGAAAAATCTTATTTTGCGTCTTAGCTAACTTATGCAAAATATTAGATGTGGTAGAATAATTTTTTTTTAACACACCACTGATTGTCAGTGACCTTGTCAGAGGGGCAACAGGGAGCGGCAGGCAGCGACTGAAGTTCAAGGACCAGCCCCCAGGAGGGAACTCTCTGACTGGCGAACCTGTTCAGGCAAGGCCACAGGACCAGAGACCTTGAAACGTCTTTTACTTCTGCTGTGCCTTTACATGTTTGCTGTGGCTCTCTTTCTCTGGTTCTTGGCATGGTGTGAGTGGATGTGGGGAGACCCCGCCACTTCCCGTAGTATAGTGTGCTTATATCATGAATACATCCTGTTCTACCGGGAATTTTTATGTGTGGATTGTCAAGAAGATGCCTTTTCCCTAAGCTGTACTGTCTAACTGGTAATAATAATGTTAGTTTATACAGAGTTTTGATGAATAAAATTAAATACAAAGATATACTGTCCATTAGGGCCTATGATTCAGCTAAGGAGCTGCTTTAGATCACAGCTCTGGTTAATGATTAAGGAAAATAACTCAGCAGCCAGCTCTGATTCTCTTGATGCTGAAAAGATGTAGTCAAAGGGTTGGTGTGTACCATTAGCTGAAACAAACCTTCAAATAACTTCAGGTTAGAACAGATGCCTTGCTAATAGTTTTTAAGATAATTAACCCCAGAAAACAATCTGAAATTTATAGGGACACATAGTTGAGCTGTCTGATACATTAGACTAGGGTTGAAAATACAAAACACCCCGATTGTTGCTAGCTGGTGGATGATGAATTCCTTTCACCCATTCTTGACCTCAATTTTCTGATATAAGAAACTATTGATGAACGGGTATGCACCCTAAAGATTCAGAGTTCAGCTGACTGACTGTTTTTTATGTACATAAGTTTAGGTTTGTGGCTACTTTAAAATTCCTTAAAAGGTTACCTATCAAGATAGATAATAAAGTGATTGATTCTTTCTTTGTAACCAGTTTGTGGTCTGCCAACAAAAAAGGTGTCTGAGAAAAAAAAATGTTCCTTGCTTGCTCATGATCTAGTAATCTGTGACAGGAAACTTAGATGTATGTGGGCTGTCAGAATGACTCTTTTTAATCATGTAAGGGAGATAAAAACATGTTTTTATCTATAATCATTCACTTGAAAGAGGAATATAACCACTTTGTGACTCCTATATTGCCTAAAAGATTTTGTTGGGCATAAAAGCTGTGGAAAAACATGAGAGGGGAGAAATGGAAAATAGAACAGAGAATAAAGAAGGAAGCCATCAAGAGTGTCTTTCCCCCTAATGCCCTCAGATAAAAAAGCCCCCAGGTGGCAATACTTGGTCTCTCTCTCTCTCTCTCTCTCTCTCTCTCTCTCTCTCTCTCTCTGTATGTATGGAGGCCAGAAGAGGGCACTAGGTCCCCTGGACCTGACATAACAGGTGACTGAGAGCTGCTGGCATGGGTGATAGGAACAACTGAACTTGGGTCCTTTGCAGGAGCAAGTGCTCTTACCCACTGAGATATTGCTCCAATTTTAAACACACTAAAGGCTCTTTTCAGCACACACCTTTAATCCAATCCAAGCATCTGGAAGGTAGAGGTAGGCAGATCTCTGTGAATACAAGGCCTACTTAGGTTACTTATTGACTCTGGCCAACTAAGGCAGGATAGTGAGAGACTGTCTAAAAATAATAAAGCTTAAAAAAGTCAATTTCTTTCTTCTCATTTTTAGTTATGTGTCTGCCTTTGTGGGGGTGTGCGTATGTGAGTTCAGGTACTCTTGGAGGCCAGACATGGTCATGAGTTCTCCTGGGGCTTATGGAGTCAAAATGTAGCATTGTAACATAAAGCTGACCCCTGTGACGTCACAGGGAGCACTGTGTGGTCACATGATGACCAGACCATGAAGCATAGCGATGACATGTGATGTCATGACATAGCGCTGTGATGTCACAGTACAGCATTGGGGTAACACAATTATGATACCACAATCCAGGTGTCATGCCAAGATGTGCTTGAGAAGGCACGACTGAATAGTATCATGTAAAAGAAGTACTTTTAGATTTATTTTTTAATTATGTGTCAGTGTGTAGGTATTGGGAATTGGACTTGGGTTCTCTGGAAGAGCAGTCATTGCTCTTAACTGCTGAGTCGTCCCTCCAGCATGAGTTAGAAGCCAGAAGAGTGCGTTGGATCCCCTGGAGCTAGCATTAGGGTGGTTGTGAACCATGACATGGGTGGCAGGAATCTACTGGGTCCTTTGGAAGAGCAGTGTATGCTATTAATTTCTCATGCACCTTTCTAGTTCCTACGCTTTAAAAAATAATAATTTAATTTAAAAATTTATCATGTGGGGGTGTGTGTGCACACATTTGGGCAAGTGTGTGTACACACATGCAATCTATAGTATGCTTATGGAGACTCATTTGGAATTCTTTGTAAGAAATCTTTATTTTATGTGTATGTGCATTTTTCTGCACGTTCGTCTGTGTATAATATGTGTGCAGTATCTGAGGACGTGAAGAGGGTGTGTTGGATTCCCTGGAACAGACTGGCCATGAGCTGCCATATGGGTGCTGGGAACTGAAATCCACACCCCTAGAGAAGGAGCCAGCACTTTCAGTGCACAGCCATCTCCCTCCCTACTCCCCCCCACTTGGACTCTTTCTAACACCTGCACACCAGAAAGGGCCAAGCAGACAATGGGCTGCCTTGAATTGGAAGAACTTTCTGGATTATCCAACTGGGTTCCAAGCCACAGCCATGAAAAACATCCTTTCTTACTTAAGTGACATAATTGGAAGGACCTGTGTCTTGTCTTTATTCATCGGATACCCTCTCAGGTCGCCTCTGTTATCTGCCCTTGTGAACGTTGTCTTTCCAGCCGAGATCTGTAGAGCATTTCCCATTTCCGACACTGTGAGAAGGTTATTGCTTCCTTCTGCAGCTGGAGGGAGAGTCAAAGCCCTGTGCTGGGCCGGGAGTTCTTCCAGAATCGGCCTGATGTTATTTCAGTAGTTATTTTCTTTGCAGATTAACACTATTTTACAAAAAGGCTTACAAATGCTTGCCAGGCCCGGGAGTGTTGGGAGTATGGTCCAGTGAAGATGTCGGCCAATGTCCACAAGGCCCTGTGTCCCATCTCCAGCACTGGGAGAAAAGGTGTTTTCTAGGAATGGACAGAACACTAAGGAATAATTCTGTGATTGGGAAAGGCTTCTGTAGCCCTTGGGGCCAGGGATGGCAATCCCACCTAGAGAAGCTGGTCAAAGAGTTAGAGCCCAGCTCACTTTGTGCTTAGCACAAGGACCCTGTACACACCATTCCCCTCCACATGTGGTTTCTCTGCTGTGTCTGGGTGTGAGGAGGAGGATCCACCAGAACCCACTCAGCAGGGAGCTCAGGGTTAGGTGCCAGTGAAGAGGAAGAAGCCACTTCCTCCCTGCTTCTCCTTGTTTTCCATCTCCTCTACTTTCCTCCTCTGTTGAGAATTAGCTCTCCAGGGGACTGAACTGCTGTGATGTGCTCTGGAGGGGGCACTCTGAGGGCCTTGGGGATCCATCCGCAGGTAAAAGCTCCACAGCCTTTGTGGTCCTCGGTTCTGGGTTCCTGTCTCCTGCTCTTCCCTCTTCCCACTCACTTTCTGCATCTGGGCGTGCTCACTCTTCTTCTGCCAGATTATCTGCCTTTTGTTTGCTCACCCACTCTTTTGTCCACATCCCCAACACCTTCTAGAAGGAAACTGCTTTTGTCCCAGCTTTTCGCTCCTAGCTCCTGCCTGGGTGAGAGGAACAAAGTCTGTCTGAGAAATCTCGCAAGAGCAGGAAAATCGGCCAGGGTGCCTCACCTTTTCTGATTTTCCTTCCTCTTCCTTAGGTGTTTTATTTTATTTTTCTGGGTGGGAGGCAACAGCTGTCAAAATTCTAAGCCTTCACCTTAATATCTGCCTCAACATCTTCCTCAGCAATCTCATCAATATCATCATCAACATCCTCCTCAGCATCTTCTTCAGCATTCACCTCAGCGTCCTCCTCAGTATCCTCCTCAGCATCATCCTCGTCATCCTCCTCACATCCTCCTTAGCATCTTCCTCAACATCCTCCTCAGCATACTCCTCAACATCCTCCTCAGCATCCTCCTCAGCGTCCTCCTCATCGTCCTCCTCAACATCCTCCTCAGCATCTCCTCCTCAACATCCTCCTCAGCATCCTCCTAAGCATCCTCCTCAGCGTCCTCCTCAGCATCCTCTTCAACATCTCTTCCTCAGCGTCCTCCTCAGCATCCTCTTCAACATCTCTTCCTCAACATCCTCCTCAGCATCCTCCTCAACATCCTCCTCGGCATCCTCCTCAGCATTTCCTCCTCATAATCCTCCTCAGCATTTCCTCCTCATAATCCTCCTCAGCATCCTTCTCTTCATCCTCCTCAGGATCCTTCTCAGCATCCTCCTCGGCATCCTCCTCAGCATCGTCTCCAGCAAGCTGGGCTGCTCTCATGGACGACTCTTCATCCTCACTGCTGCAGCCTTTCTTTCTGGCTGACTGCACCCTCTCTAGCTCCTCTTTTGCTAGTCTGGCTTTGGGGAAATGGGAGGTGACAATGGTACGGAAGTAACAGAGTTCATTTTATTGGGATTCTCGGGTTTTGTCTTTCTCCAGGGCCATCTGTTTTGGGGTGTACTGTGTATCTATGTAGTTACCTTGCTGGGCAACTCTCTGATCATCCTGCTCACGCTGGCCGACTCAGCGCTCCACTCCCCCATGTACTTCTTCCTGCGTCACTTCTCTCTGGTGGAGATCCTCTACACCACTACCATCGTGCCGAGGATGCTGGCTGACCTGCGCTCTTCCCGCCCCACCATCCCCCGTGGCAGCTGCTTCACGCAGTTGTACTTCTTTGCCCTTTTCGGCATTACCGAATGCTGTTTGCTCACCGCCATGGCTTATGACCGATATGCTGCGATCTGCTGTCCACTGCATTATACTACCCTGATGAGCCAGGGAACGTGTGCCAGCATGGTGGGGGGCTCTTACCTTGCGGGCATCATCACTGGCACCACTCACTCTGTCTTCATCTTCACTCTGCCTTTCCGTGGCGCCAACACCATTCATCACTTCCTGTGTGACATCCTGCCTGTGCTGAGACTGGCTACTGCGAGCACTTTCTGGGGCGAAGTGGGGAATCTCTTTGTCACAGTCGCTTTTATCTTCACGCCCTTCTCGTTGATTGTGGCCTCTTATGCCTGTATTCTTGCCACTATCCTTGGCGTTGCCACGCCCCAGGGGCGATGGAAGATCTTTTCCACCTGCTCCTCGCATTTGTTTGTGGTCATACTCTTTTTTGGGACTGGGACTGTTGCCTATATGAGGCCTCAGGCAGGTTCTCTTGGGGACACAGACCAGATTCTTTCCTTCTTCTACACAGTTGTCACCCCCATGTGCAACCCTTTTGTCTACTCTCTGAGGAATAAGGAGGTCACAGGGGCCATGAGGCGGCTCATGAAGAGATACCTTTGGGGTCCTTGACCATACTCTACTTCCTCCCAAGATCTTGGAGGTAAGGGCCTGACCCCTGGATATTCTCAAGGTAAAGGAGAAGCTGAGGCGTCAGGGTGCAGTCTGCTGTGCATGGTGTGTCTCACTCAGCGTGAACATCCAAGACAATGGTCTATTGTGCATATTCAGGTATATTCAGAGCTCTGCTTCCTGGACCTGGCTTTCAGACCTTGACTGGGCTTCATTATAAGAGCAGAGCTGAAGACTGGAATGGAGGTCAAGGGGAAGGCAGCTGAGAGAAGCTTGTATGATGATGTCATTCCTGGTCGTAGTTGAGTGCCTTCCTGGGGTTGTGCTCTTGAGACATCTATCTTCCTGCTTCTCCCAGGAAGTTCTTATTGTAAGCCTTTCTCCCTGACTTCATTCACATGTCTGGGAAGGGACAGAGGCAGGGAGTAGCTGTTTGGTTTGCAAGTTCAGCTCCTGAGTCTTGTTTGGTATCATTGTGGGCTTGGTCTGTCCAATTACTTTTCTTCTGACTGATCCCTGTCTCTTTGGATCCTCCTGAGATGCTGGTGTTCTCTACTTAACTTCCTCCCCACCTGTGTTGATAGAAATGTTTTTCATCCCCTCCTTTGGTCTCAAGTCGAGCACACACCTCCCCACTTCCCCCATCTGAAGTCTGATGTGGCCTTCGAGTCTTGAAATGACACTTGTTTCTTGCAACAAACTATTTACTGTTTTCACCTGGTATGCACTTTCGTTATTGTTTGGAGGATTCTTGGAAAGCCTATTCTTGATTGCTCACGAACCCTCCCTCTGCTGTCAGTCACAGGTGGGAGAGGCAGAGGCAGAGTTGGGGAAAATGAACCCAAAGGAGAAAGGAAGCCTTGGAACCAGCATTAAGTTTCTTTCCCAGTTTGCAAACAGCAGCTCTGTTAGTGCTAAGAAATTTGCATACAGAAGAAAATATATCTAACAACAAAATGCTAATAATGTCTTTGGGGAATTACTACTGCCTGCTTTGGTTCTGCATTTGTATACATGCAAGTTCATGAAAATTAAAAGAGATTATATTGTCTGAACTGTGTTTTAACAGTTTCTGCTCTGTTGAAGACATTTGAGCACCGCTCCATGACTCCCAGAGCATGTCTTCAGTGTCTCTGTGTTATTGTACAGTGTGGGTGTCTGATAACCTTAAGAAATATCCTGTCTTCGCAATTAACTTTTGTTATGAACATTGCTGTAAATGTACTCACACGTATCTGTATATTTACCTACACTTTCTCTAGTACAACTCCTTGAACCAAGATGGCCGAGTAGAAATGGTTTTGAAATACTTGCCCAGTTACCCTCCACAAGAACTTTTATTATGTTTTATAGCCAAATTGAGTGCTTTTTCTTGTACATTTTAGGGCAGAGACGTATAAGGGTCAGGAAGCAGTTGAGGTTAGACAGCCCAGAGAGAGGAAGGGTGAAGAAAGTATAGGCAGAAAGTTTCTTGAGGAGGAACGAGTAAGATAAACAGGTCCTTGTTCCTTGGTTGACCAAGGGTGGAGTGAGACCCGTGGGCTGGAACCATACCCCGAGGCATCCAAATGTAAGCCAAGGAACCACTTCCAGATAGCCGGAGTCTGAACATAAGGACACAAGCTTAAGGTGAGCCTTTGAGACAGTGGAGGTGGTGAGCCCAGGATTTCCCGAGGTGGTGGTGACTGTCAGCTTCTGTTCCCTTGTTCATAGACAGATTTCTGCCCATTATCTGCTGCTGTGTCCTATTCAGATATCTAAGCTGACCACACAGAGATCCATGCATGCATATTCTAGACTTTCCAGTCCCTGTTATTCTGAATTACTTGGTACTAAGAAGGTAAAATTGGATATGAAACAGTTCTCATCATTAGTACTAGAATTTTCAACTTTACCAATTTTTGTTGTCGTTTTGAGACAGGGTCTCACTATGTAACCTTGGCTGGCCTGAGACTTTCTATGGAGAAGTCTTGCTGGCCACGAATTCACAGGGATTCACCTGCCTCTGCCTCTCAAGTGCTAGGAGTAAGGTGTGCCTTACATGTCGTCTGGACAGTTAGCCATTTTTCAGGCAAAAAACCTAATGTGAAAATTATGTTCACAGATGCAAGCAGTGTTTGGGAACTATTACATAAACCAGTATTTAAACACCTCTCTAGTGGCTTATACTTTGTTTTCCTTTTAATTTTGTAGTTAAAAAAAATCTATGATATTTTTTTATGTGCATCATTTTTCACATTTCCCCAAATTCTCCATGTTCTGCCTGAGTGTACAATACAAATGCTACCCATAGTATGAGAAAGGCTGGAGGCCCTGCTTCGAGCTGCTTCTCCCAGGGGGCATTTCAGGAACACCCTACACTCATCCACCAGCAAACCCAACACATATTTCCCATCCTTATACTTACTGACATTCTGTGTTTCTGTCAGTTTCGTTCTTCCTCCCTCCATCCCCTTGCTTTGCCCTGCACTGAATCCCAAGAGCACAGGGTCCTTACCAATTACTTTCTGATACCAGAAGTGTAAGCAGCCCCAGCCCCTGACCCCATGAGGAAGAGAGGTGTTATCTGAAGTAGCCTAGACGATCCCCTTAGTCATTGATGCCCTGATGTTGGGCATCATAGTATAGTTGGACACTTGCTGTGTCCACTCTTTTTTCCCTGATGGTCTTGCTGTGTGGCTATGTGGCCTAGGGTGGTCTTGAACTTGTGGTGATCCTCCTGCTTTAGCCTCCCAAGTGCTAGAGTTAAAGGGATGGAGTATTGCATCAGGTGGCCTCCCTCTCACCTCCAGTTTCCTCCATTTGTTCCCATCATTCCACAGTTATTAATATCACCATGTTGTGAAACACAACGCTCAATTTTCAGTCTCCATTTTACTCAACATTACTGACATATCTGATCCCTTGTCCATTCTGGAAACATTATTTAGTGTCTGTCACTTCTAAACACACAACTTTGGCCTTGATTTTTCCTTGTAGTTTTGACTATTTTTCCTGTACGTTCTGTAGTTCACTTTCCACTTCATTGGGACTAATGACTCTTGTTCCTCTCCCAGGTTTTCCCAGCCAGTAAGTGACAAGTCACCATTCAGTTATTCAGACAAAAGTTTAGCAGTCTATTTAAATTAATTTCTTTCCCCAAAAGATTAATTAATTAATTATGTATACAGTGTTCTGTCTTCATGTATCCCTGCATGCTCTCAGAAGAGGGTGCCAGATCTCATTACAGATGGCTGTGAGTCATTTTGTGGTTGCTGGGAATTGAACTCAGGACCTCTGGAAGAGCAGTTAGTCCTCTCAACCATGAAGCCACCTCTCCAGCCCCATTAGATTAATTACTTTCCTCAACACATATTCTGCCTCAAATGTTTAATGGTCAGGGCCTGGACAGGTGGCTCTGTGGTTTAGAGCACTTGAGGTCCTTGCAGAGGTCCAAAGTTCAGTTCCGCATACCCACATCAGTCATCTCACACCCACCTATATCTCCAGTTCTAGGGAGTATGGTAGACCCTCTTCTGGCTTCTATGGGTACCCACATGCACATGCAAATGCATAAGATGTATATGCATAAAATAAAAATGAAATGAATCTTAAAGAAATTTAATTTCCAACACGTTTCTGTAAACTGAAGTTCCTAGAAAAAAGTTCCTCTTCTGTTGAAGATTCTCCAAGGGTGATTGATGGAATCTCTGTCACTGTGGGTGGTTACAGACCCAGAGTCACATTGTCCTTGGTTCCTTTAATAACCATTCATGCCCATCTCTGTATTTGCCCTAACACCCTTGTGACTGTCAGGTTAAACTTTTGGAATGTATATTTGATCGGGCATTGACTTTACCAGTTGAAAGCTGAGTCTCATCAGACAGCATCTGAAACCACGGCAGAGTCATCCCCCTGTACCATGTTTGACTTTAAGTTGTCCACTGGTTGTCATTACTAGTGTATTTGGTAAATGCCATGATATATGGCTTTGTTTTGTTCTGTTACTAATAAAAGCTTATGTAACCACTTTCATGGGCCAAACTGAATCCATGTTTCTGGGCCATGGTCACTCATATTTGGCTGCAAATAAATTGTCTCTTACTCCTTTGAGGTGCCTTTTGCTATATCTTTAGCTGACTTAATAATCCTGGCTCAGGTACCATAATGCCTTGGACCTCAGAGTCCGAGGAAATAATGTGAAGTATCAAATATTGAACATGGAGTCTACATAGCCCGCTTACCCCAGCTGGCCCATTTTCTTTCCATAAAACACTAGATGTCTGGTTTTTAAGGCAACTTGAAACAGGCTAGACTCATGGGGGCGGAGAGAGAACCTCAACTGAGAAAACTCCCCATCCTGCTGACCTCTGGGCAGGCCTGAGGGGCATTTTCTTAATTAGTGACTGATGGGGGAGGCCCAGCCCATTGTGGGTGGTGTCATCCCTGGGCTGGTGGTCCTGGGTTCTATAAGAAAGCCACTAGGAGCAAGCCAGTAACTGCACCCTCCATGGTCTCTGCATCAGCTTCTGCCTCTGGGTTTCTGTCATGTTTACGTTCCTGCCCTGGCTTTCCTCAGTGATGGAGTGTGTTGTGGAACTGTGAGTGGAAATAAACCCTCTCCTCCACAAGTTGCCTTTGGCTACAGTGTTGATCACAGCAGCAGAAACCCTAACTGAGTCAAACACTTTCCAAGATTTCTCTCTTGTTCCCTGTCTGTAGATAGTCTGTGATGCTTTGCCTAGCTCAGCATGGTGTGGCACGGCTCCCTTCCTGGGGACCAGGTAGCAGACTGTCTTCAGACAAGCGACTCCTGATCCAGTGCCTTTACATCTGAATAACGACACCTACATTTAGAACACCGAGGTATGTCTTTCTTATCCACTGTACTTTATTGTAGTTAGGTGTTTAGGGTTTTTGCATCTATTGCTCACGGCCTGCAGGTTACCTTTTTTATGGATTAAGATAAATTGTATTGTTCCTAAAAATTATCTATTTTTAAATTAGCAAACAAAAGAGAG